TGTCCGATATTCAACAAAACTTTTTTTGAAACCCACTAAAATTCCCTTTCGGGATACTATTACTCGAGTAATAACTCGAGTCTTAAGAGCCGTGGGACTCGAGTAATTACTCGAGTAATTACTCGAGTCCAGAGCAGATACTCGAGTCTGGACTCGAATCTTAATATGCTGGACTCGCACACCTCTACTCGCCGGTGATTAAATAAAATTGACACCCATTTTGATTTAAGTCACAACTGCAGTCAACGTCTTCGGTTTCACTTTATAAAAGTTTTACTTTAATGTTGTTGTCAATAGACTTGTCTTTTTAAAAAATATTTTCTACAAATACAGTTTCTTAAAAATCTGAATACTGAAAATCCACACGGACAAATTTCTTTCCAAGTGGCGCGAGCTTAACCTAAAAAGCTGAAAGTGAAAGTTTGTTGACACGAAACGAAAATAGCATCTAGCAACCAGCAGTGCCCAGCAGCCGATAGATCTAGATCTAGATCTACAAAAGCTGAAGAGAGTTGCCCTTTAAACCTGGTAATACTTTCTAACATTTGTTATGTTATCAGAGTGTATTTATCCCATTATTATTGTAGCTGTTTTGTCTCAGATACCGAATATAAAAAGTAAACAAATCAAGCGCGGCATCAGGGCTCGGCGCTAGTGAAAGTGAAAGCTTCCTTAGCAACGACCAGGTCGCGCGGCCGTTCCTTCGTGTTTAGCCGGATTAGTATCGGCTACTGCCGATTTGCATGACTGATCTTCTGGTCACTTCGTTTTCTTAGGACGGTTTTGCTTATACAAACATAGAGGAACAGAGAGTTGAATGTTTCGTGGGTCAGCGTGCGTGCGGCTAAGCAGGGGAAAAACGATTTAGTGACTGATTCACTGATTCATTTTCACGAAGAGGAAGCCTTAGAACTGAGCTTTGATCTTTTTATCTAGTGGTCAAATAAGCTTACAACTTGTGTTGATGCACGAGTTTGATGAAAGTGTCCCCTGTGTTATTTATTTCTTCAATCTTTCCTTGAGGATATAAACAGGTTGTTTGGCTTTTTTTAGCGGAGGTTGTTTTTTTTCTCAATTATTTCTTTTCCTTAACTTTCTTCTATACCGGCCTTCCCCTTTTAGTTACAGTCTAGAAAATATAGATTTATTCTTATTTAAGTGTATTATTTATTCTTATGTATAAAACCCACATGTTCAGTCATGATGATGATGGACTTTCGAAAAAGTAGACTACGATGAATGTGATCAATATTTTGAAACCATGCTGATAGTACAGATAGAAACTCTGCCTGAAATTAAGGTGTACATTTTGGAATGATTTAGGTAAGAGGAGGGTCATCATTTATGTGCTCGTCAGTGCTTACCAGAGTTGAATTTTTATAATTTTAAAATGTATAGGCTAATATAATATGTGCTTTGAATAGATTATTTAACTATTGTTTTCCACAACAGAATTTAAATGGTCATCTTTGTCTTTGATAACTGTAGGCCTCTTGTAAAGGATTCGAAATTCTAAATATTTCTGACCCTTTAGATTTTCAGATATACCGTACCATCATTTTGTTTAAGAAAATGTTCTCAATAAATTTGGTTGATAAAGAAATTAATGAGTATAGGCATTCCCTGTCAAAGCATCAGTCAGGTTTTGTTTACATTTCCTAGTTTCAGAGTTTCGAACTCATGTTACGGCGGGAAAAAATCCCCTAATTCTTTGAATGCCTGAAGAAAAGGATTCATTCAACATTTTGAAAGTGTATGTAGATATTTTGAGGTTCCATGTTATTTTGATAATTGTGTAATTTAACGCGGGGGGGGGGGATTTAACTTTTTCAAAAAATTTCCTAACACTTCTAAGGCATTGCTGTGTATATATTAGCATTAGTATTTAATAACAAAATAGAACTCTGTCACAGTAGCGATATATTGTAATATTATTATATGAACTACCAAACAAAAAAATTCTTCTGTTTTCAGTGTGATGAATTGGATGTGTGTCATAAAGAGAATTTGCATTTTTTGGTTAAAGTGTACGGATGTTACTTGAGCTTTTTTAAAAAATAACTTCTGTTTTTTTCTTGTTTTTGCTCATGATAAACTAATTTTTTTAAAGTGTTATTTCATAGTGAGTGTCCTGAAACTGCAGTAATAGCTTGCTTTTTGATCATTGTTATATATATCGTTGCTGTCCCAAGAAAGATAAGTAACTGCGGGCCTATTAAGTGCATTTTACAAAAACTCTGTGAGACTAGGTCAAACATTTTTACAGTGACTGTAGCAACAAGAAATTTTGTGTTTTGAGAGTTCAAGAAAAAGATTCATGGAAATCAGTTTTTATACTGTTAACATTCTCAATGCTATCTTGTTTCATCTTCTCAATACTATTGGGTTATCCTTTAACACAACTGTCAAGTTGAAATTTATTGTTATAAATTGCACAACAATAAATATTACTTTAATGTAAGTCTGTTTTAAAATCTTTATAAGCAGGTTGTCACAGTCCACAGTTCTAGACAGAAGAGCCATGGATGAAGGCACTTCTCAGGACAAACCTCGGTTCAGCTACTCCGCTGAAGACAACACACGCGGACCTGTCCGTACTGTCAGCACTGCGCCTGCTTTTGCCACAACACTATCTGGCCTAGAGGCTGTCTTGGAAGAAGATGAACTTTCAACCCACAGCCCACGAAGGGATGGAAGGCCAGATTCTGAGGACGATGAAGAGTATATGGAGAGGGGACAGGAAGCGGATGATGAAATGGCTGATAACGAGGAGTCGCCTCGTAGTCCGATGAGATCCCAACGAGCCTCAGACAAATCCCCAATGGATTCTCTCACAGTGCGAGGCAGCTCTCCAAGTAGACCGGATACATCTTCTAGCAGAAGACATCAGCCCAGCAATAAGGTAAGGATGCTCATAAACTTGACAGATCTATATTGTGGAGTCTACTTACAGTAAACTGCTTGCCTCAGTGGTTCAGCTTATGTGGAGAAAATTGGCAGCGAAGCAGGAGATTTGTCTGCTCCAGTATGTATTACTACTCTGTTTGAAGTGTTAAAAGAAAAGAAACTATTGGAAGAAAATTCATATGTAGGGCCCTATTATAAAATATATAAAACTTCTGATTTAAAGAAATCAGCTTCCAATGACAGATTGAAACAGATGAACATAAGTTTCCAGTTTAAGCCCACTTAGATTTGTAATTGTGTGTGTTACTAATTAATTGCTTTTTCATCTGTTTGTCTATTTTTATATGTTTCTCCTCCTTCTCTTCTCTCACTCTCTCTCTCTCTCTCTTTCTCTCTCTGTCCCTCTCTCCCCGCTCTCTCTCTCTCTCTCTCTCTCTCTCTCTCTCTCTCTCTATCTCTCTCTCCCTCTCTCTCCCTCTCTCT